GGCATGCAGTTTTGAGGCATCCGTTATTTTTTTCTTATTGATACTACAACGTCGGGACAATCGTCGACCAACTTTTGCTTTTGATGAAATTATGAGTAAGTAATCATTTCTTTTATTTTTGATTGATACGTATGTTTATAGCGCGTATACACACCCAAAGGCAGCAGTGCCATGACCGGCGCCAAGGACGACTACCAGCGCAGTAAATTTTTACGAGTACATACCTTTATTTTATTTAATAGGGCTTTGGAGCCCGCAAAGCGTGTGGTGCAATAGGGCGGGTTTGTGGTGTTTGCCCTCTGGTGAGAATGCTTCTACAGCCTCGATGAATGCGGGCGTAAATGAAGATTTGCATAAAATAAAGTTTGAGCTTGTTGCCGCTCGTGTTCATAGATTTTGAAAAATCTTACCATCATGTAAATTGGGAGTTTTTGGACAAGTGTCTTCAAAGAATGAAGTTTGGGCCAGTGTTCATGAGATGGATACGAATTTTCCACCAAAACGCCACAACAAGCGTACAAATAAATGGCTCGCTGGCCCCTCCCATAAAACTGGAACGCTCAGTCTGACAAGGGGATCCAATAGCTCCTTTCCTGTTTTTAATTATCATGGAAGCCCTATCTGCAAATTTTCGGAAAAACAAGGACCTCTTACGGATTAAAGTAACTCACATCCCCTAAGAGGCGCTCCCGATACGCTCATTGTTTGCAGATGACCTCACAATAATGGTAGAAGCCACGACCAGGAACCTGAAAGAAATCCAGAGAGTGATGGAGCGTTTTGCCCAAGTGTCGGACATGATGGTCAACTGGGGGAGTAAGACACAAGGATGGTGGATCCACTCCCAAGGTGGGCCCCCCCCGGAGTCTCCTCGCATCTTGTGGCAACCTTTGGAAACCCCGATTAGAATCCTAGGAGTTTCAATGGCAGCAACAGGTTGCCCACTGTGGCATACTGCATAGCCACACGGGCCTGCAGGGCCCGTCCCGCATTTCCAGCCTAAAAGCCTAGAAATAAGGGCTTACAGGCCCCTGTCGTTTCAGCCTGAAAGATTGAAAAACGAGGGTATGCAGGCCCTATGCCGTTTCAACCTAAAACAGGGTTTTTCAGCCCTGAGGCTTTTCAGCCTGAAACGGAGGGCCACTTTCGGGCCCTCATAAGATCGACCTACCCTAAGACTCAGGCACAAAAACAGGGTTTCGGGAACAGGCTATTTCTGGCCTGTTCCCCACGACAGCCTCAAGCAGGAGCTGCAGCGGCAGCCCCTGACTCCCTTCACATTGGCAAGAGCAGCCTCCTGAATTGCCTCGCCCTGCAATCAGGAGGCACCCGAGTAGTACATAGGAAGTTCCCATGCACTTCACGGGTAGGTAGTTGGACAGTAGGCAATAGTAGTCTTCATGATTCAGCCGCAACACTCAGGAGGAGCGCTGCCAGGAGTAGCTTAGCGCTAGCAGTAGTCTTCAACGATGGGCGCTAATAGCCATAGCAGTAGTCTTCAGCGTTGGGTGCTAGTAGGTGGTAGTAGTAATGTGGGAGAGAGATGGCTGGCGAGGCCAGTGAGACTTACCTGTGGCGCCATAGCTGCAACTCCATCTTCGAGGTACCTGCATCAAGGCGCCAGCTTTACAAGTTAGTACCGGACTGAGAGAGATAGAGAGAGTTATTCTTCTTCCTCTTCTAAGTCCACCATCTCTTCTTCACCCTCTCACCACCTGACTTCTCAGTATCAGTGGACAACGATAGAGAGAGAGTTGTGACATGAGACTTGACGACATTGGATTCAGACTCGACATTGGGATTCAGACATTTTGATGAGGGACTATTTGGGCCTGTGCCGAAGACTTGGTGTTGACGACATTCCCATCTTCCCCTCTTCTTCGTCTAACCCCCCTCTTCTTCGTCTTTGTATGGTTGGGGCTGGCGCATTCTTCCTGTGTGAGCACCAGACCCCTTCACACCATAGAATGATGATGATGATGTATGTTCGGGGCTGCATCACAATATTGATTGTTCGGATCATTGGTATCTAAGTCTTCCGCTACGCTATCTTGTACTTTGTATTGAGAGGTCGGTTCTTGTTCTGGTCTGCACCGTTACAGTATGCAACAATTTGGTATCGGAGCGGACCTCTCATTCAGAGGACCCGCTCAATCAAGTAGCCAGCTTGCTTGATCTATTGACCACTCATTAGTACATCAAGTAGGACTTCGTCAAATCTCTGGAAAAAAAATTTCTCTCGCAACAACTATCTGAAAATTTTTGATACTCGCATTTCGTTTTACCTTAAATTTTCGATATTAGTATTTCGTTTTTACGCAACACATGTCTGAAAATTTCTGATAATCGCATTTCGTTTTATCTGAAAATTCCTGATAGTAGCATTTTCGTTTTTCTGATATTTCGCATACATAGTTGAAAGTTTCTGAGGTTAACATTTCGTTCTCTAGGCATATTGGGATAACGATAGAAATGGTCATATTCTCGAAAACTGGATTTCTTTTTTTTCTGAAAATCGAATTTTCATTCTATCTCGCAAATTGTTTTTGAAAACCGAAATCTTGCGAAGCCTACCAACATTTCGTTAGGCATATTCGGAGGTGGTCATATTCTAAGAAACTGGATTTAGTTCTTTTCTGAAAATCGCATCTCTATTCTATCTCGCAAATTTTTTTTTTCAAGATCGCATTTTATGAAAGTCGAAACTTTGCGGAACCTAGCCTAGATCTCGCTCATAGTACTCTTCTGACATATCTCACTCATAACAGATCGACAAAAAAAAAAAAAAAAAGGAAGTAGTTCTCTTTTATTTTTTTTATTTTTTTATTATATCTGTTGATTAGGGTCGGGAGGAAAGTATTGTTGGGTTGGTTCCCTACCTGCGTTTTCCCTCCCCACCCACCCTTTGCATGTATTTCTGAGTTGGTACAGTGCCACGTCAGCAGTGCCACGTCAGCAACAGTGCCACGTCAGCAGTGCCACGTCATCAACAATGCCATGTCAGCAGTGCCACGTCAGCAACAGTGCCACGTCAGCAACAGTGCCACATCAGCAGTGCCACGTCAGCAGTGTCACGTCGGTCACTGTGCCACGTCAGCAGTGCCATGTAAGCAACAATGCCACGTCACAGTGCCACGTCGGCAGTGCCCCGCCACCATGACGGGCGCAGCTTTGGGCATGCCAGACCAACTGGCCAACGAGTCTATTGCCGACTATAATCAGCGGTTCCAGACTCAGCTCGCACTGATCGAGGCTGAGGAACAGCGTCAGCTGGCAGCCGAGGTTGCCCGCCTAAAGGCTGAAGCAGCGGCAACAGCTGAGAAGCAGCGGCTTCAGGCCGAAGCAGATGCAGATACCCCGGAACGCCGAAAGGAAGCCCAGGATCTGTTGCAGTGGCATGAAGCCGCCAACATCGAAAGACTCAAGTATTGACACTTTGAACCATCCGAGGAGCACGACGACGCGACACCGGAATAGCAACATAAGGAATTCATGGCCAAGCTCATAACCAGGTTGGTTTACACCTGTAACCACCTGCAGTCCGAGCTGGCGAATCTCCAGCGGGCCGTGCGGAACCACAAGGTTCAGCACGAGGATGCGGCACGGGCACTTGATTCCCGTATTCCGGACTTGGAGCAAACTGCACCAAGACCGGAGGCTGGTGAGTCCAGCAGTGCACCCTCAACCCACCAACTGGAGGCACGAATCGATCACGTAGTGGCTAGGTGATATTAGCACCTTCGCAGCGCCAGCCTCCATCAGCCAGCAGTTGGACACACTACAAACCGAGATCGGGCAGCGACAACAGTCGTCTGACCCCGATCGCAGCACCAGCACGGCGAAGCATTACAAGATGTCGACGTTCCGGATCAAGAAGTTTGATGATTACACACATCAAGACCCAGTCGTCTGGTGGCAAGGATTCACAACGGAGTTGGGGATTCATGAGGTCCCCGAACATTTGTTCATCGGCGTGTTGTTCCTTAACGCTAAGGGAGGATGCCAGATCTGGCTCAGCCATATGGCAACCGTCCACGGCGTCCAGGTCTTCGACCTACACAAGAAGGTCTCATGGGAGGATCTCACAAAGGAATGGAAGAAGCGGTTCATCGTTGACGATGCCCCGACGCTCGCCATCAACCGCATCTTCACGATGGCTCAAGGAAACACAGCGACACGTGATTGGCTCACGGATTGGCAAAAGATCGTGGTGACGTCGGGAGTTCTACAACCGATCATGCGTCGCTTTGAGCCTCGCACTTGGTGATCGCGAGCAGTACAACACCTTCGCTGAAATCATCAACAAGGCGAGGGAGATCATCAAGACAAACAGGGCAGCTGCACATGAGAAATTAGCATGGCAGCCAACCTATGTGGAGAAGGTAAAAACTGGTCCGTGACCGCAGCAGTTCGCTGCAGTCCAAACGGACAACATTGTGGAAGACCCGGCAGCCACCCAAGCGTCACGTGAGGGAGATCAGGTGGCTGTTGTCCAGCCGCGAAGCAACAACAAGTCCCAAGGAAACGGGAAGGCGAAAACCGCATCGCCGGCCGGAAACGGACAGTCAACACCATGGGTCAAGTTTCACTTGACCGAGGCCGAGTACAAGTACCGCGGCCATTACAGCTGCTGCTATTGGTGCAGTAGCACCAAGCACAAGACCTCCCTTTGCCAAGATCAGGGCAGGGAGGATGTTCGGCCTCGTATCAACTCGGAAAACTGAGTTGCGCACGAGGTGAGGCGACTCCACCTCTCACTCCGCCAGATTCGACCGCCTTGCTAGCGGCCTCCTACACATCTGGGGAGGATGCGAATGTCGCAAGTCCTCGGTATACTTACGAGGACTATGATGTCCACTTGGTCCCACCGTTGGACCAACCGCTCCACGTGCAACAATCTACCGCATGCACGGTTTCATCACCATCGGCAACCGATTCGGCAGCTTCGCCGCCATCTACCGTCGGGGATTCAATGTCATGGTCAAGACTTGAAGAGCTCGACCCGTTGACTTTTGCGGACTTCCAATGGATGCCCCTTCCCTGGTCCGGTCGATTGTCAAAACCGCATTGCAACGTGCTCATGGCACAATTGCGGGATTACTTGCACACTGCAGTACCAACTTCGTTGATGGACGCCGAAGTAGAGGTTGTCGACCTTCACGCTTACATTGCGAAGATCGACCGTGAGTTCAAAACACAACGGTACGAGGACATCGACGCACCATTGTTATATGTACGCATTCAGATCGGAGAGGCGACCTGCAGCGCTTTGATCGATTGCAGAGCATCTCGTAACTACATGAGCCAGGACTTTATGGTACGCGCCGGTTTTGGCCCACGCATCCGGAGGAAGTCCCAGCCGACGCAAGTCACGTTGGCAGACGGTCACACGCACAAGTCAATAGACCGGTGCATAGATGACGTCCCCGTGTACTTTGCCCCGCATGCAAGTGAGGCGGTGTCCTTCGATATCTTGGACACCAAATTCGACATGATCTTGGGCATGTCATGGCTGCAAAGCGAGGATCACCCGGTGAATTTCTACCGCTGCACCGTTCACGTTCGTAATCGGAACGGAGTACTAGTCTCATGCACGGTAGCTCCTCCTCACCCTTCGACCAGCTGCCACGTGGTGTCTGCCGCAAGCATGCGAGCTTCCATCATCACAGACGACATCGAGGAGATGGGGGTATGTTTTCTCCACGCCCTCCCGCCCCATGACGCTTCATCGACGGACTCATCTTCGGACCCACGCATCACCGAGCTTCTCGACGCCTACAGCGACGTGTTCGAAGGCCCGCACGGAGTAGTACCGGATCGGCCCATCCGCCACGAGATCATCCTCGAGGACGGGGCCATACCTCCGCGAGGTTGCATCTACCGAATGAGCGAGGAAGAGTTAAGTGTGTTCCGAGCACAACTCGACGACCTTCTGGAGAAAGGCTAGATTCAGCCTAGCTCATCGCCATACGGTGCTCCTGTTCTCTTCGTCCGGAAGAAGAACAAGGATTTGCGGTTATGCATCGATTATCGCAAGCTCAACGCGTAAACGATCAGAAACGCCGGCTCTCCCCCACGCATCGACGACCTCCTCGAACGACTGGGCGACGCCAAGTTCTTCTCCAAGTTGGACCTCAAGTCGGGATATCACCAACTCGAGATTCGGAAGGAGGACCGCTACAAGACCGCGTTTAAGACGCGATATGGGCATTTCGAAAGGCTGGTTATGCCATTTGGCCTTACGAATGTCCCGACCACTTTCCAAGCGGCTATGACAACGGAGTTCCGACACATGCTGGATCGATTCGTACTTATCTACCTCGACGACATCTTGGTGTACAGTCGGAGTTTGGACGAGCATGTGGAACACTTGCGCACCGTTTTGGAGCGGCTACGACAAGCCAAGTACAAGGCCAACCGCGACAAATGCGAATTCGCGCGGCAGGAGCTGGAGTACTTGGGACATTATGTGACGCCGCAAGGCATCCGTCCTCTTGCGGACAAGATCGAGGCTCTCCGCGTATGGCCCGAGCCCACCAACACCACGGACGTCCGTTCCTTCATGGGGTTGGCGGGCTACTATCAGTGATTCATCACCGGATACTCAAGGATTGTTGCACCTATGAGGAGACTACAATCGCCAAAGGTGCCATTCGTATTCGATGACGACGCACGCCGGTCATTCCAAGCACTTAAGACGGCCATGCTCATGGCACCCGTCCTTAACATCTATGACCCCATCCTGCCTACGAGAGTGACAACTATCACTTCCGGCTACGACATTGGGGCGGTCTTGGAACAACACGACGGTGATGACTGGCACCCTGTGGAGTATTTCAGCCACAAAGTGTCTCCCATCAACTCGCTTGATGATGCAAGGAAGAAGGAGTTGCTCGCGTTCGTGATGGCTCTCAAGCGATGGCGGCACTTCCTCCTTCAGCGTCGTAGGTTCACATGGATTACGGACAACAACCCACTGACTTACTACAAGACGCAGGATACGGTGAGCAGCACGATCGGACGATGGATGTACTTCATCGACCAATTTGACTTCACACCGAAACATCTTTCCGACCTCTCCAATCGCGCAGCAGATGCACTATCGAGAAGACATGATTTTTGCGCTATGACACATCATGCCTTCGCATTCGACGAGGAACTTCAGCGACACTTCATCCGGGGATATGAGTCGGATCCGGATTTCGCCACGTTATATGCGCAGCTATCTTCGGATCACCCGCCGGCCAGCCACTATCGCATTGCGGACGGGTACTTGCTCCTCCACTCGAGAGGCAAGGACTTATTGTGTGTCCCACGAGACTGTCGTCTTCGGACTCGCCTTCTCGGGGAGTACCATAACTCGCGACTCGCCGGCCATTTCGGAGTCAACCTCACTATTGCACGGCTTCGACAACGATTCCGATGGCCCGACCTCATTACCGATGTCACTCGGTATTGTGACTCTTATGAAGTTTACCGACGAAGCAAGCCCCGCAATCGCAACCCCTACGGCGAGTTGCGCCCAATGCCTATCCCCCAGGAACCCGGCCTCTCCATTGCCATGGATGTCACTGGACCATTCCCCTGCGATCGCCTCGGGCACGACGGCATCCGCACGGTTGTGGACCGTTTGAGTAAGTATGCGCGTTTTCTCCCTTGCAAGTACTACTCCACGGCTCCCGAGCTGGCACGCCTCTTGCACACCGGTTGGATTTGTGGCCACGGTGTACCGGAAGACATAGTCAGCGACCGCGACACTCGCTTCATGTCGGCATTTTCGACTGCTCTCATGCAAGAGTCCGACACGAAGATGAAACCAAATTCAGCTCGGCATCCACAGATGGACGGGCAAACGGAGCAGTCATCGAGTTTGCCTACAACACTTCGGTGCACCCGGCGATCGGCGTGACTCCATTCGAGTAGCACCACGGTAGACGGAAAGACCGTATCTTCGCCGACCTTCTCCTCCCACGACCAGCTAACATCAGCCGCGGGCGATGAGGTCGATGGTCCTTCATTTCTGATCAACATCCCGGCGCATTTGACGGTCTATCCAGTTTTTCACGCCTCGAAGCTGGCAACATATACACCAGCTAAGAGTGACGACTTCCCAGGCCGACGCTCGCAGGACCCTCCATCTATGGATGGTCATCAGGAGGTCGACCGCGTCATCACGGATCGCAAGTACGGCAACAAGCCTCGACAGTACAAAGTTACATTCAGAGCATGCGCTCGGTTGATTTCAGGAAAAGATTTGAAAGCATCCGCACCGCTGATCTACGCTCACTACGAGCGACAAAGGTTAGCTCAGGGACCTTCACGACCTGCCCCTCCCACCCGGACTATGGTCCCTCCCTCAGACAGACAGCTTCGCCCTCGCAAGTAAGCTCGGTCTTTCAAGGAGGGGGGGGTGTGGCATACTGCATAGCCACACGGGCCTGCAAGGCCCGTCCCGCATTTCCAGCCTAAAAGCCTAGAAATAAGGGCTTACAGGCCCCTGTCGTTTCAGCCTGAAAGACTGAAAAACAAGGGTCTGCAGGCCCTATGTCGTTTCAGCCTAAAACAGGGCGTTTCAACCCTGAGGCTTTTCAGCCTGAAACGGAGGGCCACTTCCGAGCCCTCATAAGATCGACCTACCCTAAGACTCAGGCACAAAAACAGGGTTTCGGGAACAGGCTATTTCTGGCCTGTTCCCCACGACAGCCTCAAGC